CAGCCCCACTTTGAAAAAAACACAACTGCACTGATCTCAAATTAGTTCGCAAGCAACACTGGAATTTTAATCAATTTAATTTTTACATCTGATAAAAAAATAAACACGTTATTTACCGGCAGCGTCGGTCCGGATGAGAAAAACTGTGCCCTCGGTCTTGAAAACGGCCCGAGCCCGAATGTATGTGGCAAGAATTGGTTTTCAGGGATTGGTTTTCAAACAATTTGCCTACAGCGATTTCCAACCCTAGTACAGTAGCATCGTCTCGGCAAATTGAGCAAAGGAAGTCTCTCTTAGCCAGGTGTAGGTCCATTTGGCAGCCCCCCACTTATTGATGACTTTTTAATCATGGAATCAAAAGCACCTTCCATGTCACATGATAGTACATGTTTACAAAGTTTATCTAAAATGCTTCTTACTTTTCATGACCTCAAGATTCCCATCGCTCCGGGGAAAAAATCCTTCACAGGTCCTTGAATTTATGGGCATTATTTTGGAGACATTGAATATGGAAGCCCGGCTTCCTGCAGATAAGATCCATCGCATTAGGACAATTTTTGCCGAGTTCGAAGCTAAAAAATCTTGTACTTTGAAAGACCTGCTATCCTTAATTGGAACTCTAAATTTTGCATGCAAAGTCGTTGCTCCTGGACGGCTATTCTTGCAGCGGATGATTGACTTAACCAGAAATGTCAAGGAATCCCACCACCATATTAAACTAAATTTGGGATTTTTTAAGGATTTGGTTGTATGGAAACAATTCATTACAAATTGGAACGGGGCAAATGTTTTCCTCTCAACAGTATGGAAAGATGCACACATGCGCTTGCACCTATTTACTGATGCATCAGGAACATTAGGTTATTGGGTGATATTTGGTACTAAATGCTAGGGTATTTGGAAACCTTCCCACCAGATAGATAAACCAGGCATTAGTATTGTATGGCAAGAGTTATATGCTATGGCATGTAATTGCATGTCAGCTCTGGGGAAGCCTTCTCTGCAACAAAAGATTAATTTTTAATTGCGATAATCAGTCTGTTGTTAACACAATCAATTCTAAACGTTCAAAGGTTCCCCGTGTGATGGATTTATTACGTCATCTTACCCTACTCACGTTGAACTTTAATCTATACGGTACATTCGTGCAAAACATATCCCAGGTAAACGCAATGAAGTTGCAGACTCTATCTCTCGTTTTCAGCTGCAGAGATTCAGAAAACTGGCACCACATGCAGATCCCAGTCCATGTCCTATTCCCAGCCAACTGTTGAAAATCTGAGAGGGGACATTCAGCATTACATCAATTTATTCATTGCTTCATCCACAAAACAAACTTACAGTGCTGGTGAAAAACGCTATATTGATTTTGTAACTATGTTTAAACAGCAATCACTTGAACAGTGCCTACTAGCAACGGAAGCCATTTTGACAGAATTTGTGGCTTTTCTCGCCAAAACTATAAAATATGCCTCAATTAAAACCTATCTGGCAGCTGTTCGCCATTTGCACATGCGCAGAGGTCTTCAACTAAATTTACCAAAAATAGAACAATTGCAGCTGGTCGTACGAGGTATAAAGCGTTCCCATTGAAAACCTCCATTTTACTCCAGGGTTGGGTCAAGGCAACCACGAATTCATGACAGTGGAAATCAAAGTCTCCAAAACCGACCCATTTCGTTTGGGTCAAACAGTCACAGTTGGCGCGTCCAACTCGCCCTATGTCCTGTTTTGGCAATGAAGAAGTACTTCTCGGTTAGAGAAACAACGGGTGGTCCATTTTTTGTTCATGTTTCTGGGAAACCTCTTACCAAACAAACTTTAACAGCCGAGACTCGGATTTCATTAAACCAAGCAAGTTTTAATGCGTCACACTATGCTGGTCATAGCTATCGAATTGGGTCCGGTACAACTGCAACTTCAGCTAATTTGCCTGGGTGGCTCGTCTAAACTCTAGGGCCATGGTCTTCCGATTGCTATGAACGACACATTTGCATTCCATCTTTTACCCTGTCAAAGGTATCTGCCACCATGACTGCATCATTTAATTAAAAAAAATAATAAAAAGGGGGGCTGGCGTTTTCGTCTATGGGGAACATTCTATCGTGTGTTTTTAGGGAAGAAGTATTCCAATATGTCAACTTCATTTCCCATAGACTCTAATAACGTCACATATAAATATATATTCCAAATAATAGGTCTGAGCGTTTCTGTGGACCTTAGACAGGTTAGGGACTGCCCAAGTGGGCAGGTTAGGGACTGTCCAAGTGTGCTCTTGGTCAGATACGTCAGGAGGTCGCTCCCCTGACTAGCATTATCAGTTCAGTACAGTATTAGGTATGTGACGATGAGGAGGGATGTCGTTTGGCATAAACACAGAGTATTTCTCCCCAAAACACCCCATCTCCCACAAAAAACGAAACGTGTGTTTTTATTGTGTTAATTATAGTTTGTATTCAATGATTCAAAATTTGGATCATTAAAGCCAATTTAAAATGTTTAAATTCAGTTAATGAGACAACATGTTGAAAGCAAGTGTTTTGCAAGCTTATCCTCATTGACACATGCATGGCAAAGGTGCAAGTCGACATTTCCGTGTATTGTTGGTGGGCAAAGGTTAATATTTTCTTGAAGCAGCACTGTGTTCACGTGAATATTGATGAAAGAATTTTAGCCAATGAAATGCTTTTACTAAAACCAACAGCCAATCGCAAGGCAAGTAGGAGCATACGTTATGCATCACGCTCAATTTTTTGGCATTATTTGCTTAAAGCTCTTCAAGGATTTACCTTCGAGCTCCATGTTATAAAGTTAAAAATCCCACCCAGCCACCCCGTCTATACTTGCACTTTTGTTACTGCATTTGCTTCCAACACCTTGTCCATGACATAGTACTTGGTAAAAGGATCTCATTATAAGGAAACAATTGCTCCCTGCTGTAAAGCTTTCAAAAGTGAAAGACTATAAGAGGTGTAAAAGCGCCTATGGACACAAGTTTTTACAATATGGTAAATAAATAAAAATTGTTATTGTTATGGTTGGTCAATTTTCGCTGGTAATAAAAGCTTTCCAAAGTGAAAGACTATCAGAGGTGTAAAAGTGCCTATGGACACAAGTTTTACAATGTGGTAAATAATGAAAATTGTTATTGTTATGGTTTCTTTTACTGGTAATAAATAACGTTGTTTTTCGGGAAAGAAGCATTCCAATATGTCAACTTCATTTTCCATAGTCTCTAATAACGTCACATATAAATATATGTTCCAAATAATAGGAACTGTCTAAGCGGTTCTGTGGACCTTAGACAGGTTAGGGACTGCCCAAGTGGGCAGGTTAAGGACTATCTAAGTGTGCCCTTGGTCAGATCATATACAATCCAGAAGACATTCTTCTGGATTGTCTATGGCCAGATACGTCAAGGGGTGGCCTCCCCTAACTAGCATTATCAGTTCAGTACAGTATTAGATATGTGACGATGAGACGTGTGTTTTTATTGTGTTAATTATAGTTTATATTCAATGATTCAATCTTTGGATCATTAAGTGTTTATTATGGACAGATGGGGATTATTTATTACGCGGGCGTAGACCTTGAAATCGGCAGCGTGGCTTTGCGGCGATAAATTTCCACAAAAATTTAGTTTTAAAATACATTTATTTCTTCAAAACGTTTACAAAGGTCTACTTCTAAGAACGTATCGTTTAGGTATCTTTTATATCTTTAAATAGTTCTCGTATCCTTGTCCGTCTTCACACGATAACTTTTCAATTTTCTCTTGGGTTCATTGGAATATATCTTGTTCGGTTTCTTAGTATAAAAGTTCATAATCCTCTGCCCAATCTGCTGGATCGATCTAACTGTGGAAAAATTTAGTTTAATTTCGGTCGTTCCTCTTTTGTTGATGGTGGTGGTGTAAGGAAATTATGTTTAGGATAGTAGGCACTGGTGATATTATCTCAACAAATTATTGGGGCACTAGTTGAGTTCTCTGAACAGAGGCTTCGTGACTGGAATTGTAAGCCAGGACATCCATCTTATTTTAGAATGTCAGAAACCTATTCAACTGATCAGAATATGGCTTGCTTTTTTCCGCTGCGGGAAGTTGTGGCGTTTACATGATCTCTTTTATTAATTGCTGTTCGGCATCATACATTGCATTTATACAAGTGGTGGTTGTTGATATGACTGTTTTTATATAAACTTCACTATTGTTTCATCCTCCACAGGACGTTTGTTGGTCTTAAGTCGATATTGATCGTTTGTTGTTGGCTTTAAATCCACAACCAAGTACCCATGAGGTCAGCTCGTGGCATCTTCGTAACTCTTCATAAACTATTGCATTCTTCCGGGATTTACTTGTCTGCCAAGCATAGAAATGTGCTGTTTATCTCTTGGTGGTTTAAACAGCACAATATTATAGATATTAAAGCTGATATTTCTCATTTCTTTGCCCTGATGAAGTATATTTTGAACAACAATGTAAATCACCAACAAATTAGGGCTGAAAATAGGATGTACGCCTGCAAACAGGCCGTATACTACTAAAGTGGAACAAAACAAACATGGCGCCTTTCTACAGGGTGACGAGTCGTTGCTATGTATATAGAGAAACTGTTTGTTTGACTGTTGATAAGTCGAAATTGTCCGATAAAAAACATTTTCTGCGTATTGTATTTTCGCCAAATCGACCAATAGCAATTTTTAGGTTATCCAATTGTTCAAGTCACGCGCAACTATAACTTTCCTAAAACATTGCTATTATTGGTTGGAAAAAACCCACAATACGCACGTGACAATGAAGGGTGACATTTCTGAATAAACCTAAACAATAACATAGATAATGAGTTATATATCGTAATTTTAATGAGTCAGGGGGACTCTCCAAAACATCTCTTGTATTACTATCATTGTAAGGATCTGCTATAACTGATGCACTGCATACGTTGTTTTATTGGGGCTTTAATTAAGCTTGTTCTGAAATATTTTACTTATATTGATAGTCTGATGCAAATACGAGTGAAACAAAGGCGAGCCTTCGTGCAAACGATGGCCATGGGCATTTTCACTACATGCATGACGTAGAAGAAACGTATCCTGAAATTCCGGACGAAAAGAAACCAAATGATCTTGATCTGGACACCCTTGTGCTGGGGAACAAACAGATTGCTACAGTGGCATGGATGATCGTGATAGGCGATGGACTCCACAACTTTATCGATGGTTTAGCCATTGGTGCATCTTGCAGTACTTCTGTCTTATCTGGACTGAGTACATCACTTGCCATTTGTTGTGAAGAATTGCCTCATGAACTGGGTAGGTTTTCTAGATTATATGTGTAAAGTTAGTGTCAGGGTGGTTACTGAATGTGCTCTTTACTCTGCGACTGGGATTGTGTACGAAAATGGTGTTTCGAGTTTGACTCTTCCAATCGACAACTTAATTTGTATCTGTAGGCAGATGTCACAGAATAAGCATTAACACCTGTATTCTAAAAGCTCACTCACACTCACGCTCAATGAGTGGAGGTTCAATCTGAGCTTCTGTTGAGTGTCAGTGCTGTTTTTGAATAGCTGGATGGTGAGTAGTCACATAGTAAGGTACGACACTAACCCTCCAGCTGTTTAAAAACAGCAATGGCACTCGAGAGAAGCTCAGACTGAACTTCCACTCATTGAGTGTGAGTGTGATCGAGCTTTTAGAATACGGGCGTAAACCTCTATTTTAATACCACCAGCGACTAAACGTTCAATAGAGTTTTATTATATTCAGGGCCTATCAGAGAAATTCGGGGGCCTGGGGCGGATTTTAATTGGGGGTCCCCTTTTTTCAAAAAAATGTTGCTGAGCGGGGGGAGGGAGGAATAAAAAAAATTTCCGGACATTAAAAAAAGGGTCAAAAAATTATTCCAGACAAACAGCAGTTAAATTAAGGTTCAATAAAATTTTTCCCGACAAATTCCTGTTAAAACATGGGTGAAAACCTTTTTTTGAACCATTTTTTTAAAAAAGTTAGGTTTAGAAAATTTTTCTTACACCATTATTTATATCAAAAAACGTTCCAAATTATGTTTTTTATTTTGCAAATTTGGGGCCTCCCGTTAAACTGGGGGCCCGAGGCAGATTCCCCTCCCTCCTCTCAAAGGCCCTGGTTATATTTACATTTTTCCGTTGTATCTTTAGTCGACGAGATCCAATTTGGTTAAAAACCCCACTCAGTTTTGAAGGTTCCCACACTTTTCAAAAAAATTGTTCACTTAGAATTTCACGCAGTGATTTTAATAATAGGATGTCCGTAAGATCTCGTGCTTCGTTATAACTTGATGATAAATTAAATAATGATTTGTAATGAATGCCCTTCTTTGGACCATTTCGATATCTCCGCTCAGTAATCAGGAATGTTGAAGTGCCAAACGTGGCAAGCATATTCCAAACTTGGCAAGCACAATCCAGAACCTTGTGTGAGCGTTGGCTCAATACGCCAAGCATAAATAATATTTTCACTGCTTTTCAACAATTTGCTATACAATGTCTTCGACAAAAATGCCGGAACGTTCCGTTTTTCACGCAACGTCGATGACTATTTCTTTGCCTTTCTTTGACTATTTCTTTGCCTCTTCGAACATTTTCAGTACGAAAGATTGTGGAGCTAATACCACGTCCGCAGCCGGAGGTCAAAGAAACTTTAATCAATTTTGGCTGAATTTGCTCTAAAAATTCATTTGTTTCTCAGGGGTAATTCTGCCATAAATACATTGACTTTCAGTGGTGGAGGTATACAGTTATCTTTGAGTACCTCTAGCTTTGCGAATTTTTTCTGTTTTGCAATGGTATGAATCAATCAATACCATTAGAGCGGTTTTGTTTTTATCTAAAAATCTTACTTTATACTGAGTTGTACAGTATGTTCAAATGATAAAAAGTCGAATAAAAGGAATCTAATCATCCATTCTTATGCATCTTTTCCGTTTTATTAGAGAGGTTCATGTTTGACTTTCACACCACTACTGCTAGCTCTCACAGACCTAATAAGAATTTGATTGCATGGTTAGTCGGGTGGAATAAATGCATTTATCGCTTCCTTTATTTAACACTATATCTGGGGGATATCTTGTCACGATAAGCTCTGTTTTCTGTGCATGTTCTTTACACGCAATAAACGAGTCAGACACCACTTGGAATAATTATGGCAATGTGCGTATTGCATAGACGACTTTGCGCTACCAAAGCGAAGAGCAGAATGAACCAGATGCGCATTCTGCTATAGATATGTATCACCTCTCCCTTCCGTTTTCCTGCACGCATTACATTCATGTGATCAGAAAATTACGGGTAAAATACCCATGTGTCCCATGTCAAGTTTGTCTATTTATATATCCTAAGCTCAGGAAGCAATAAAATCTTCATTGGTATGCCAATAATTCCTTTGATTTGTTAAAGTGGAAGTCAAGTCCGTTCTGCCCATCGGTTATGCTCATAACAATTTGAGGACTTCTAATGTGAACATTGCCCAAATTTCGAATGTTTCGAATTTTTCTGAACATAAACTCTATTTCATATTCATTAGAAGCATAGCGAACCAAAATGGTGTTAGATATTCAGACAGTACATCATATTTTAAAAAATACAGCAGTTAAAAATGTAAACAAACCGTTTGTTTACATTACGGACTTGACTTCCACTTTAATGGTTACGTTCGCGGTAGTGGAAGTTAAAATCATTGCCTCTTTATATTATAGCACCTTATTAGAGCTTTTTTCTTATTTTAATTAATTAGGTGATTTCGCAATTCTTTTGAAATCTGGCATGACGTTTAAACAGGCAATCCTTGCAAACTTTGGTTCTGCCTGCCTCTGTTATCTCGGTTTGATAATAGGTTTGATTTTGGGATTCAAGACCTCTGCTGTACGATACATATATGGTATCGCAGGCGGAATGTTTCTTTACATTTCATTGGTTGACATGGTAAGTTTTAAAACATTGTTTCCAAGCTATGTTCGCTGACGGTACGGTGGATAAAGTTTTTTGTCAGAGATCGCAGCAGAGAAACAAGCTAAATTTGTGTCTGTAACAACATTTTCAAGTTGGGTGAGCAAAGCAAAAAATAATTAAATTTTCAAATGTTTCATCGTGATATTTCCTAGTTGCCCATGCAGCGCTGTAGAATTCAATAGACTGTTTTAACAAACACAAGGCGACGTCGACGAGGACGTGAATACGTGATAGCGTAGCATGTGAGATTTTACTTCTGGTTTAATCTATAGGACGTGACGTCGTTCTAGGACGATATTCCGTGTGTTTTAACGTCCTCTCCAAAACGTCACAAATTTATGCTTGTTTTAAAAAGCGATATGACAGATGCGCCACAAAAACTATCCTATTTCTAGAGTTTGTTCGTTCAATCATGTTTCGCTCGCTACTCTGGTTAATAAATTATTACAAAGCCCAGTCGAATTGTAATCAAGGCCAAACGCTTCGACACGATCCAGTCTAGAGTCTTCATCAGGGGTGATCTAAAGTTTGTGTCCTTATATTTCGCTGAGTACTTTTATCGCCATAACAAAACAAGAGGACTGCAAGCATTGTTGACCACTTGATACTGCTTCTATTTCTAGCCGAAAGATCCATTTAAAGAGAAAAAAATACTACAAACAACAATACTCTAAGATGTAGAAAAAGTAGGAATATAGAATATTAATTAAAACACTTATAAATTAAACAAGTAAAAACGGGATCAATTTTAGTTGCCTGACACAAGAGTACCGTAACGAAAATATACACGACAATTAAAGAAACAGTTTTCGGCATGAAAAAGTCGTGAACAACGTTGAGTTTCACCAATGTAAACTCTGATATCCCTATTTATTATATTCATTTGGAAATCAATGGTGTTTCCTGCAATCTGATTGGTTCACAGGAGTGCGATTTCAGCAGTGTGATTCGTGCTGAAATCGCACCTTCTTTCAACCAATCACATTAGAGGGCTGACTTCAGCCAACCAATTATATTTAATCATAGAATTCAAACAGCCAATGCATTTTAAGAAAAATGTGATATGGCCGATGAGCAAAAACAAAAAATTTACATGTCATGATAAACTCTTGAGTGCCTAAGCAATTCTTTGCACATAAAAACAAAAAATATGGATAGCTACAGTAAACTATCAAAGAATTGCAAAGTATTTTAATTTTTTTTTGAAATTACACAAATAGTAACTGGCAAAAATGCCAACAAAGCAAATTTAAAGCGTCAGGACAGACAGGACTCCGGGAAAACAAAAGTAAATTCAATAAAATTCGCCTATCGTATTTCCAAATTTAAACGCACAAAACTGCACCAAAACTCTTTCAATCACTCGTAAGACATACAATATGTTTAAACTTACTTGTGTTGTCTCTTATTCTGTATAAATGTCTTCATTCCTTTAAGATTTTTGCAGTATTTGAACATATTTATAAACAAAATTTACAAAACTTACAAAACTATTTTAAAAAGTTCATCTTGTTCGCTTTTATATATTGTTGCTATGCTACAGCACTCAGGGAGGTTTCGGAGGTGTGTGTGTGTGTGTGTTGCAAACAAAAACGTTTCCGGTTTACAAAAATATTTAAGATTTCAAAATGAATATAATAAAGCGGAAATTGAACTTCGTGTCGTGCAATTTTGGACTGAAATCAAACTTGTAATTACAAATCGCACTCCCGCAGTCCCGCTTCGCGGTCGTGCGATTTTGTTATCACGCTTTTGATTTCAGTCCAAATTGCACTCCACTCAGTTCAATTACCATTAATAATACCGAATGGCTTAGAAAGTCGATTAAATAAAATAGAAAACAAATTTAAGTCGTGAACAATACCTGCAGGTTTTGCGTTTTCGTTCGTATAAGCCCCGGCCCGTTACGCGAGCAAATTTTATTTGACAAATTTCATATGTCAAAGATATTTTGCTCCAACCTCGTTTCCAGAGTCTCACCTCTGCTCACCCCCTGCTCCGGAGAGACCCTGGTATGGTATGGTCACCTGAGTCATGACCACGTGCTATGCTCATTAGGGGTAGCAAGGGGTGGCACGATTGAGTACTTATTAACTAAAAATAGCAAATGTAAACAAAGGGTATTTCGAATCATATTTATCACCTAAACTGTAAAGGCTGTCGAACTGTAATAAAGCCAGGTAACTGAAAGAGTAGAGAAAGCATCACAGTAGAAATCTATATCTTGTGAATGATTTTGAAAGTTCATTTTTAGCAGTGTTTCAAACCCAGTTGTGCTGAACTATTGTTGTCCATTATAAATTTTGCAATGCCAATAATTATCACTAAAATTATTAGTGAGTGACGGTCTGAATCATTCTAAACGCTTTATCGTTGGCCCTACTGTTTCTTGTGTATATTAAATAATGACCTAGCCCAGAAAGTGTATATATGTTTGCTTTCTGTCGCGAAGTGTCTATCGCTCTGTTTGGTTAAAACCGTATCGGTTTCATCTTTTACAATAATTCAATATTAAACCAATGAGTTCTCCAACTCAAAAAGTACAACATGCGGTGAATTTTCTTGCGCTATATGCAACTATGTTGTACTTTGTCAAATGCTTTGGTATAAGGTCATCAAACACATGTGCAGAAATGTGCAGTCATATAGTCATAGAGTTATATCATTTAAGCATGTAATACGAAGGCCGTTATAAATGATAGATATGGCTAATAGAGCCAGCGCATAACAAAATTAACCAACATGTAAATATTTTGAATCGGGATTGACATAAAACCTACGTACTACAGTATACGAATGACAAAATCAATGCAAATTTGTCAGTCAAACATCTGTTTGAAATTGAGACTCGTATATACCAAAATGATATAATATGCGAACATTTATTATACTGACAAAACTAAACATCGTGCCATATGCAAGTCGCTAAAATATATAAACACGTACCGTTGCACTGCATATTTTCAATTTATATAAAGGTGAGAGTTCATAGTTGATAAGCTTTTTTTGAAAATACACTAAAATGTATCCATTTTATTTTGATAAATCAGTAGGCTACATCTGATCTGTGCTATATTATATACGAAGAACGGTTTAAATCACAAATTACTTTATTATATTAATAATAATATCACTGCGAACAGTAATCACATATATACATGTAGAAACAGACCACAAGAGTCTAAATCACTGGTCTAAATGCCGTAAACCATATCATATACAGGGTGTATAAAAAAAACTGAACAGATTTGAAATTGCTCTCAATTTCGCAAAACAGCTATAAGTATCCTGTTTTTGATGTATATAGTTTCTTTGGGTACTTATAATGTAGAATAATGAAAAAAATTTCTCGAACTCAAATTTTGTAAACCAGGGGGGGGGGGATTCCAACAAACTAAAAATGCCGGTTCGAATATTTCAAAGCGGGAAAATACTGGACAAATAATTGAAAACGATGAAGAAATATGCAAGCGGTAAAAAACCCCAAACAAATTTGCTTCGAAAGAAATAAACACGAAGTTGCAGACTAAAACCGGAAGTAAAATTTCGCACGAAACGAATTGCGCAGTGAAGATAATTTAGGCCTCTTGAGAAAAATATTCGCTTCGCCAGTGAATAGAAGTCAGTTCTACTCACTGTGAAAGCGAAAAAAGTGTGCAAAGTCAATAGAGTCATTTTTGTGCAGCCATTGTTCTAGTACTGTAGTTATGCGACCTCATCTTGAAAGGTATCTAGCTATATCAATTCAAAGATTCTAAATGGGCAGGCCAACTTCTAAAGGGCTAGTATTAGTTTAATCTGCAGCAGTTAGGGGTGTTATAATTTTTTTAAATATCAATATTGATTCTGTTTTGTTTAGCTTCCCGAAAGTATTCAAATGGTTCTTGATCTGACTGGCAAATCGAAAAAGAAGGGCTTCAAAATGCTGTTGGTCCAAAATCTTTTCATTTTACTTGGGATGAGTGCAATGTTGCTCCTTTCATTCTATGCCCCCAAAGTAAAGAAAGCGAAATGGTGAAAGCAAGGATGGTTATTTCTTGATTAATCCTCACGTTCAAGATACACGCTGTCACAAATCCAACTAATCCAAGTGAATTTTATTAATATAGGGACATAGAAATCGTATTGTATACATAAAAACAGTACGTTTATGTACTGAGGCGTGTGGAAAATATTAAAGCATAAAATGGGACTTTCAAGTATATTTAATCATCCTGATATCATAATCCGAAATCGAAAGGTTGACTAAAAATGTCTACTAACTCTGCTATGCATGTCTACTAAATTACCGATACTTATTTCAATACCCTAATGAGCACAAAATTCTCACATTTCGACACCAGAACTGAGTATCGCTCATCCCTCTATGTTGACTCCCCCCTCCCCCTCCCCAGTAAACTATTTTGTCCCCACCAGCGAATGTTCCTATAGTCTCTAAATATAAACAGAAAAGGGAATGACTGACTTCAGACGCGTTTTTTAATTTTATCTCCTTGAATTATACACCATGCTTTCACACTGAAGCTTGTTCTGTTTCACCCTCAATCAATATTCCTTACGAGACTGGCATACATGTGTGTCTATAAAACATGTATTTACAACGTTTGTGTGTGAATATGGTTAACAAAACTGAATACTAAGATTGCATTCTTGCTAAGTTATCTGAAGATACCCATTGCCGAATGCATGGTAAGTTCAAGCATTCCAGATTGGCAAAATGCAAATCGTAATCAACAGGCAATATCTCTGTACAATAAACTACGCCTTGTACAGCGTTGGACTCCGAATGATTTGACATGTGAAATTTCATGTCATGGAATATGAAAAATTCCTTTAAAAAGTTCAAGTAAAATATCTTATTCTTATCTTAACTTAAAAGTTCGCACGTACTTAATTTCGCGAATTTTCGAGGCAATGTTTTGCGAGACTTTATTTTCGCGATTTTGATAGGCGAAAATAGAAAAAAGGGAATTAAATTTCGTGAAAGTTTTCTATAAAAATGTGAACTACAACTTTCGAAACAAGTCAACACAAGGTATACACATGTCTGTACGCTGTAGTCCGCAATTTTTATTTTACTCATCTTTGTTGCCGGTAACAAGACAAAATAATTTGTTATTTATGTCGATATCTGAGCTGTACGTGTTAATAATAATAATAATAACAATAATGGAAACTTTAATAATTTTGTTATATACTATATATATACAATTGTAAATCTCACTAATTTAAGGTAACTTACAATTGGCTATTTGAATCACAACTATATGAACTAATAAAAATGACAAGACAGAATACATGAAAATATATAAATATACCAGATAATCAGATATTTCAAATAGTTAACAAGTCCAGACTTTCCCATTCCTTATTTCGACAGCAGAAAATATAGTATGTACTTCGAATGGCAATAGTCATCATTTTCCTAACACAGTACGTACGTTTGGTAGTTTTTGTCCAGACCAACATTTCCTAGCATTTCTAAGAATGTAGAGCATTCTTGCGCAAAAATACCTAGGGAGCTCATGGAAAGATTTATAAAGCTTACTTCGTTAAAATTTTTGTCTAGTTGTTTCACTAGTTCTTTATATTTGGCTTTTTTCCGATTAACGTTGTTCTCGAGGTTTGTCTCATAGCCAACAGTGAGCTCGACCACATAAAGAGAGCCATTTGATAACGATAACAACAAATCCGGGCGATACGTATCACCAGTTATTATTGACGGACTTTTGAATCCAGGCACATCAGCGTAGAGGGCAGAACCGTTCACAGATTGCAAGGTATTGGCAAATAAGTTCAGGATTGATTGATTTTATAATAATAATAATAATAATAATAATAATAATAATAATAATAATAATAATAATAATAATAATAATAATAATAATAATAATAATAATAATAATTTTTTTAAACCTTTACAAATCAATTACATAGCCTGACCCATATAGTCATACATTTATGAGTCCA